GTGGCCGGAGCAAATCATGGCAACTTCTTCTCCAAGCATTCTTCACAGGCTGTGCAACGCATAGAAAACAACGGCAAGCATACCTTCACGCCAAATGAAGTTCAGGAAAACAGACTCGAAGAGAAGCCACTTGTCATCCGCATTTGCCTGCGAATATGGTCCATGATAGACCGATACATTTTAGAACCTCTGTTTACGTTGCGGCGCTTTCTACATTTGCTCGCTTTGTTTGCTCCCGTTGCGATTACAGCGCCTGCTACTTGCTTTGGACGACGGAAACCAGACCATGACAACGAGAGGACCGGCAGTTTGTGGTGGTATCGCTTTCTCGTGAGGCAAATGGAGAGAGCGGGTCCGACATTTATCAAATTGGCTCAATGGGCGGCATCTCGCACAGACATCTTTCCCAATGAACTGTGTCATCTATTGTCGAAATTGCATTCACAAGTGGATCCGCATCCGTTCAAGGCAACACGTAGAACAATCGAGCATGCATTTGGTGGCCGAAGACTAGAAGATATTTTCGAAGATTTAGAAGAACAACCTTTGGGTATAGGCGCTATTGCTCAAGTCTACAAAGCCAAACTCCGGCCAGACATTGTCTTGGAACACTTTGAAGACCTTATGTACGATGTCGCCGACCGTGTACCGACCGTGGATTCCGTCACCGTTTCCATGCCGGCTAATGCACATCCGCGGGATATTGTAGCCCATCCTCGACAAGATCAACTACACCTACATACCACTGTGGCCATCAAAATTCTACATCCACGAGTACATGTCATTGTGTTGAGGGACCTCAAGATTATGAAGTTCTTTGCAAAGTGTCTCGACCTCATTCCAACCGTCCATTGGTTGTCACTCCCCGAAGAAGTTGAAAAATTCGGCGAAATGATGGAAGATCAATTGGATCTTCGCATTGAAGCATCAAACTTGAAGCAATTCCAGCGAAATTTTGAAAATAGGCGGACCGCCAAATTCCCACGACCGCTAATGCAATACACCACGCGGGATATGCTCATGGAAGAATTTATCGAAGGTGTGCCACTCAAGGTATTTTTGGATGCTGCGAGAGTCTATGGCGGGAAGAGAGCATATGACGAGGGCAAAGAATTTGACACTCGTATAGCCGATATAGGTCAGTTGCTAGCTCTTTCAATGACAATTCACTGACCTGCTTGATAATTCGTATTCAGGCTTGGATTCCTTCTTGGTGAGTCATACCGATTTTCCTGTACACGCAGATCCCCCTAACATGTCTTGTAGCACATGCTGATCTTTGATAATTTTATACATGCTGATCTTCATCCTGGAAATATTATGATCAAATTCTACAAGCCCGGCACCTACAACAAATTCCGCCAGTATCTTCAACAAATGATCAATCGCCCATTGGTCGATGATGGAACGATAGCGGTCCGACGATTGCGTGCAGTTAAGGACGACCCGGAAGCCATGGCGCTTGAACTCTCCAAACTTCATCATGAAGGCTACCAAGCCCAATTGATTTTCATCGATGCAGGTCTCGTGACTACGCTCAACGCAGTAAATCGAAACAACTTTTTGGAGTTATTCAGAGCGCTCGCTGAGTTTGATGGATATCGAGCCGGCGAGCTCATGGTAGACCGCTGTCGACGCCCGGATCAAGTCATCAACAAGGAGATCTTTGCGCTCAAGATGCAGAAACTCATTCTGGACATCAAGCAACGCACGTTTCAACTCGGTAATGTCAAAATTGAAGGTCTCTTGCATAGCGTGATGCAGATGGTCCGAGAGCATCACGTAAAGCTTGAAGGTGATTTCGTCAATGTGGTCATATCTATCTTGTTGTTGGAAGGTATCGGGCGACAACTCAATCCCGATCTCGATCTCTTCAAGTCTGCCCTTCCTATCCTCCGCGATCTTGGTACACGAGACGCAGGAAGAGCAGCCATCGAAGGCGTCAAGGATATCCGAGGAAGTGGAGGAGCATGGATCAAGGTCTGGGTGTTACTGGAAGCGCGCAAATGGGCAACCATCCAACGAAGAGAAACTGATTGGGAGAATATGCTGTGAGTATTGACGTAGCTGAATCTGACCAGGGCTTATTGACGCGTCGCCAGGGATATTCTGTGCCCCAACGCCATTTGATGACTTGAGCATGGTGAACACAGTAGATGGAAAGTCATCTTTGACTGGTTGTACATAGATTATACAAGGTCACTTTTTATCTTTGCTAGTTAATCTTACATTTTGACCAACGTTGTTCCATCCGTTCCGTCGGGAGCCGGACGGTTCTTGTGATTCTCCACCTTGCTTGTAGGCTCACCTTCAACTCGAGCATTCTCACCTGCAGACGATAAAGACCCGAAAGGACTTGTTTGAGCGGTTGATTTTGGATCCTCCAGGCCTGCATCGGACGGATGCTGTGTCGATCTACTCGAGTCCTGTGAACCGCCGTGTGAACGCAGTGATGATGCGACAAGGGATGAGGGTAATTGAATGTTATAAGGTGAGGCAATGGTAGATATGGCCATTCGGTTTGGCAGGTTCGATGTTTCGGCCGTTTCGGTGGAGGGAGGCTGGTGAGATGCGGATGCTTCGGTGGGATGAAGAGGGACGGATTCCGAGACGGTTTCTTTTGGGTGATCTTCCGTAGGTTCATCGGGTGATTCAGACTCTTGGTTAGCACCAACGCTGCTACCGCTGCTACCCGTGTGATACAATCTATCGGTTGGTCGTGTCAACATCTCCTTTCGAATGGGGATTTTAATGCCTTGGCGAGCAAAACATTTGGAGAGTTCCGTCGATTCAGTCATCCCAGGGAATCGTTTGGCAGAGTAAACGTCAAACGGTTTCGATAATACTTCGGCTCGTACAGCTGTTTTTCGAACCGGTCGAGATGGATCTTGTGCTCCCTTTACGTCGAGAAGCGCGCATCGCAAGGTGAATCTGCCTTCTGTTCGCACGCTCATATCCTGAAACACAAAATAGACGCCGAGATCTCCTTCCAAATTGTACAAGTGGCTAGCTGACGAGAACGTACTGCCCATCAATGTGCGAGTTGTGGTTGGATTGGTGAGGGAGAGAACGGAAGACTTTGTGGAAGCAGTGTCGGGTACGGTGGATCGTATTTGTGATGCAGAGGGGATGGAGGCTGGATTTACGACAAGATTGCAATCTACAGTTCCGTCAGAGGACCATAGATCGCAATGGACAAGTAGTAGGGACGTGTCATGTTGGCTAGAGCTTCTGTCAGCTTTTCTTTTTCACGGTTGGCAGCTTAAGTCATACTTGCCTTGGTTCGACAACTTGGCCTTTGGCATCAAAGATGTTGAGTTTGATGACCGGTGGCGGATCTGATAATTGCAAACCACAGTCAGATGAGAGTCGCTTCCACTCAGTCTTGCCTACCTATAGGCCGGCGATCCTTCTCTCCAAATCCACAAGCACGAGCACGCACCGGCTGTTGAGCATACTCGATAGTATAACTGCTTACGTATAAATAAATGTAAGCACTCGTATACAAGACAACGTAGACAAGAGCCGGTGTCGCGGCCATGTCATACACGTCTATTACCTGACATTTCCTTCAAGCTCCTTGAACGATGGCAGGCGTATGGGAGGTAAAGTAGGAACCTCGCTCATAACGTTCAAGAACGTCGTAGATCTTCTGCGATAGCTACGATATCTGCTGTCTATCGACCTGTCAGCGCTGCAGGCATAAACCTCACGTTAACGCCATTCAAGAGAGAGTGTAGTAATGATGCACAGAAAAATCCTTCGATGCACAGAAGGGACTCTCATGGAAAAACCCTATTTTAAACTCCACAAGAGCTCCCCAACAACCTGGATCATGATATCAATCTTTGCACACTAACTTCATTGGCCACCAAAAGCAAGGGACGGGGACAAGGTGGCAAAACAATGACGCTTGACTTTTATGGGAGTTCATTGTCCCTGAACTCGGATCTGGTGCGCGGTGACGTAGCACCCATGAACTCGGGTACTATCTCTGGAGAAGTGCCATCGGCGCTCCGGGCCATAGATCGATGATCTGCTGGTGCGTCATTCCTTTCCTTTGGCACGAACGCTTCATTAAGCTTTAGCATTTCTCGTTATATTATCGGTGCTTGGTCGGTGGGATTGTACGAGGTTCCCAGAGTTCTGGACTCATGTAGGACGTAATTGAAGGCCTTTGACCCAAAAATTTCGATTTATTGATAACCTAACAAAAGGCTCGATTTAGACCAGTAAGGGATCGTTTGGAAGCCGTACAATTGCGTTAATTAAATAGGTGCAACAATATCGTCATCTTTGAACCAGACTTGCATAAGCGGGTCCACTGATATAAGAGAATGCGTTGATGTGAGCTCGTTTGCGGAGGTCCCTCTTGTTTCGGGATAGCTGTACAATATACACCGCTGTTCCTGTGATGGCAGGCAATTTGTTGCCGTTGAGGTCTGGCTCAGGTATGCACGTAAAACAACAGTTAAAGACCGGAACGGATTCGGAGTTTCATGGGCCTTCTTGATGACTGGAGCCTGACCTTTTAAGGTTTGTCTTAGATGCCTGTTAGAGATAAAAATGGAGCTAGCATATGTGGTGTTGACGTATCTGAGGAATGTCCAGCCGGAGATACAGGTCGTCGGCAAGCAAGGCAGACCTGTAGGGAACTGGTTGCGCAAGTGGATGCAACCCTGCTCAAAGTGCTGATAGAATGGAACATCTCTTTACCAGGAACGCGACCAACCTGTTGTTCAAGTCTAGGTAATTGCCGGATTCCCCCGTTGATCCGTTAAAGATACAGTTTCACAAGCAGACGAACTTGCTTGCCGTGATTGCTTAAGAATTGTCTACCGATAAGGTCATGCCCATATCCACTGAAACTCAATTTCCTTACGTCCGCAACACTTATCAGTGAACGCGATGAACGATTCCAGATTATATCATGCTGTATCGAAGGCTTCCAGCGAGGAGATTAAAGAACCCAACAAACTGGCCAGAAATTCAAAAAGAGATGACGACTGTAGGACTCGAACCTACGCCTCTTTCGAGACCAGCACCTGAAGCTGGCGCCTTAGACCACTCGGCCAAATCGCCTATCAAAAAATTTTGATTGTGTGGTACAATATAACGCAAAATATAATCCTAACCTTGAAAGTCAGCTTTTTTGGTATGTTACAAGCTCAAAAGAGAGCAAATAAGCCGCAAATAACCTGCATGGCATACAAATCAAATGCCAATGGCGTTGGGATTGACAATCCGGTTTGAGAGGTATGCAAGGCGCAATAACCATGCAGTCTAATTTCACAGCCTGGCATGAAAATCACTTCCCCGGAAATTAAAAATCATCCGATAAAAAACATGGGAGATTACAAAACGAGGGGCGTTAGGTCGATCGGACCAATTTGCGGCTACCATAAAGCTGTACATGTAAGCTAAAGGTATAGTATTATCAAAGGGTAACCGACGTACAACGAGCAGGAAAAGTACACAGCACAGAACGTGAAACGATGGTCGACCATAAATAGAAATGACCAAGCAAGGAAGCGACCATCAAGAAAAGATACCCCTAGACGCAAGGTCAGCTCAGCGTCGTCTATCAATGGGTAGAGCTTACCTGTTCTTTCCGGAAAAGCTCTTCTTTAGTAGTGCGAGTAGCTTTGCGACATTAAGTTGAACGTATTCGAGATCGAGAACCTGAACATTATCCTGCTGCTTCTCCAATAGATCGTCCAGTTTCAGATCCATTTCCAGGATAGGTTTGTCGCGATTCTTATAGTGAAGGGCAATGATGAATGTACCAGGAAGAGGTGAGGTAATGGCAAAGAAGATGTTTGGACGCCTACAGAGCGATCAGTATCTTGCGTAAATCCAGTAAGGTATGCATACCTGGCTTCGGGCACGTTGCTCTCTGAGATGACACCCTCCTTTTCGAGCTGGGCGTGCGTAAACTTGTAAGGTCCAAGAACTTGTATCTTGGCAGGCTTCTTTGTCCGTCCATCTACCTCAACCCCGATTCCTACACTGCTCTTTGACGGCTTCTCTCCACCGCTCGATTGCATTCTGACATTTTGAAGATAGGCTTTGTACGATTCCAATTGGGAGCGTAGGTAATTGTTGTGATCAATGATTGTTTGATAAACACTTTGAAGCGATTCCATCTCGTGATTGACCATTTCGCGCAGATTGCCCAAATGAGCCAGTTCTTGCAAGATCTCGTCACATAGCAGAGCGTAGCCATCAGCGGGATCGACAACACCAGCTTCTTCCAGCTCTCTGAGCATTTCCTTCACTTTAATACCTTTCCGCACAAGTAGCCCGTCTTTGGTTGTGGCTGCTGTCTCGGCGACATAGTTGAGATCCAAGGGACGCGAGTTGAGGTGAGGAAGCGTTCGAATAATCTGAACAAATATAGCTTTAGCCTCCATGTAAAGTATGTCGTTTTGAGTGATGTTGTTTTCGGACATGAGCGCGGTTGTCAAATCTGCATGACGAATAAGCTGCTTGTTTTTTTAGTTTGTTCTGTCATTTACCTTGAATAGGAATCTCCCACCGACTAAATAAGGGTAAGGAGATGGTCTTGTCCTCTTTTCGAGACAATTGCGGAGGTGGAGGTCCAGCCTCACTCAGCAATATGCGCAGATGGTCCTTCTCCTTTGGAGCAAGTATGTCAATGTGTTGAACCAAGAGCGCATGTGTGTTGTAGATTTCGTTCAATGTGATGGAAAGCACGATGTCTTTCTTGGACAGGGCCATATACTGGTCCATCTCCAAAGACTCGTAAAAGTCGCTGACTTCACACAACTCGTTGAGGAATTTGTTGAATCGTTGCTTGTTCGCCTCAATGAAAGGATGTGTTGGAAGCATATACGCTTCTTTGGCGTAACTGGGCTTGTTGGCCAGATTTTGTAGGATCTTGGCGATAAGCGTAAGCGTCCGGCGTGGATTTTTGCTTGGTGGGCCATCAACCAACATGTATGCTTGTGGAGTGACGATAGCAGGATTGACAAATCGAAGAAAGAAGAAACCGCCAATGAGCGAACAGATAGCCTGATCCGTCGCGTCAGGATACTTTCTCTTTGTCAGACTGCGAATCTGTTTGCATATCCATCTTATACCATATGGAACTTCCTCAATATGGGCAAGGATGGTATTCAGAATGGCATCAGCAATCTCCGTCATCTTTTGCACGCGAGGCTCGATGAGCGCTCGAACTTGGGGATTTTGCGTGGCCTCGTCTGTGCTAATACCACGGACCAAATGCGGTGGCAATTCGCCTGTTTCCTCCTCAGCCTGCTTGCAGATCTCCTCATAGACTTTGAGGGGATTGATCTCCAGATTTAGTTCCTTGTGTTCGATGAGTTGATTGATCTTGTCGGATAGGACAACCTTCAGATACGACTGTCCGGGTCCACGGCGAGTATATGTTGTCATCATACGTGAAACAGGCGTGTTGGCGCGCAAAAGCATCACAAATTCCGTTGCTGTCTCGAACTGAGCTGCCAAAACATTCTTTGCAGTGTACGTGTCAGAGCAGACCTCGATATCGGGTTACAAGCAAACAACTTACTTGAAACATGGTCAGGAGCAAATGTTCCTCCCGCGATTCATACTGATTACCGTATAGTGTGAACATGACTGTCTGCAAAAGAGTATCGATCTCAGAAAGGGTAACTAGGCGACAAAGACTGGCAATATGACGCGGTTCGGATTGCAAAAGAAAGAACAAGTTGCCGTACTGTTGCATCTTTCGATCATCCGGATAAGCATCAGGGGCGGCGATTGTTTCTTCTTCCAAATGCGACGCAACTTCGTTTTGCTATGGCAGATTAAATCAGAAAACGACAAACATCGCGCGTTTCTTCGCCGGACAGGGTTACCTACCTCATCCAAAGCCATACGATTGGCAATAAGCAAGGCAATACGAGAATCTAAATAGCGCACGTCTCGCTCCAAAACGAAGTTCTTTTTTGACTGCACCGATATCTTGGATTTGTAGTCTCTCAGCTGCCTCTGGGCTATAGAGAAGGTGATGATGGTCATCATCTGCCATACCATAGACAACAATAAGACAAATACATACCTCTGGCCAAGTCATCTTCCACTTCATTGTCCTGCTCAGCGGCCATGGAATAGAACGCCGACACAGAATATCTCTTCGACTGTCTAGATCCCTTGTTGCGGGATGAATGGTGATTATTTGCGGCGGCAGCAGCTACTGCTCGCGAGACTACATTTGTCTGCCCAGAATATGCATAGCTAGACACCAATCCACTGCGCCGTGAATCTGTCATGGCCATGATGATGGTATCCAAGGAGAAGCCCAAAACACAAAAAGATATATTAATTCATTTATATGTAATTTGGAAGAGCTTGAAGTGATCGATCGTCTGATGCACGTTGTGTATGCACTCTGTCGCCTCCCATTCCATGATGGGGTTACTGCTACTGCCATTTACGACACAGAGCATGCACTCTATCATTGCATTTGGCTCAGACGGGGGAATGAACTGCACGCCTGGGAGGACGAATCCATCGATCGACGTGTCTAGATCATGGATCGACATCGACCAGGATTCTGTCGTTTGTAAGGCTAACACAGCCTTCATTTCACTTACGCACACCTCTCAACCGAAAATAAGCTGAAAACAATTGTGTGACAGCATATTCCAACAACCTTCAGCAACATCTCGTCAAACACGCTTTTACTTGTCATACGCAAATTTTGCCGCGTGGAATCCCGCAAGACGGAGCTCCGCGCCCTCGAGTATGGGCTCGTTCGCAGAGGATTTTGGTAGATTTGCTCACGCCGATCTAATTAGGCCCTTACTATAACCAACATCCTACAACCGAGATCACAAAAGTCCAATTTCTTTTGTTTCCATACAAGTTCGTTTGATTAAAGTCACTCCCTTCTCTCTCCCGTCGGCAAAAGGATGAAACATGGAGAGGAGAAAATCCCAAGTAAACGTTGAGGCGCAGCCACATCGATAGCTGAAGCTAATGCCTGGCAAAACGACAAGCGCTTCAAATGCCTTGCGTGTACCATGACACACAATGAGTATAAACCCTAACCCTATTTATATATATATATATCTCTTTCGCCCTGTAATTGTTGTCGGTATGGAGAAGGTTCAGGACGTTACTCAAAAGATTGAGGAGATGGTGGTGGGAAAGGAGGCAAAAAAGGTAGACAAGAAGGCTAAGAAAGTCAAGGCTTCAGAATCAGCCTATCCTTTGGAAGTGTCGCCTCCTCCACAGTACATTCAACACCGCATCAACATGTTTGATTCATTGTTGGCAAGGCAACAGGAAGCCTTGAAGAGTAGGTACATTCGACAGCTCGGTTGTCAATCCTAGATAGAATGCGTTTTGACCACTCAATGTCCACTAGATAAACCACGCGAAGAGATCACTGTTACTTTGCCCGACGGCAACACCAAGGTCGGTATCGCGTATGAAACTACTCCATTGGATATCGCGCTCGGTATCGCCAAGTCTCTAGCCGAAAAGACTGTGATCTCAAAGGTAGACGGTGAGCTTTGGGATCTCACTCGACCTTTGGAAAAGTCATGCAAGCTGGAATTGCTGGATTTTGAAAGTGATGATGGTAAAAAGGTGTTTTGGCACTCAAGCGCTCACATCTTGGGAGAGGCCTGCGAGCGGCATTACGGCTGTCACTTGTGTATTGGACCGCCCATTGAGGACGGATTCTACTATGAAATGGGCATTCCCGATCGGTATATTTCACGCGTCGCGATATCTGATATGGAACTTACGCCGCAATAGGGTTGTCCAACCTACTGATTGGCCTGCCCTTGAGACCATTGCCAAATCCGCGATCAAGGATAAGCAGCCTTTTGTGCGACTGGAGGTTTCAAAAGCTGACTTGCTGGAAATGTTCAAGCACAACAAGTACAAGGTTCACATCATCAACGACAAGATCCCTGATGGCACCAGCACCACTGTTTACCGATGTGGTCCGCTCATTGATTTGTGTCGGGGACCCCACGTTCCTCACACTGGCCGAATCAAGGCATTTGCCGTGATGAAGGTGAGTTTTAGTACGCTGACCATAAATAGCCCGTTCTCAATGA